AAAAAACTTGCGCTTCTCCCGATGATCCAGGATGCAAGCCTCCACAAGGAGTGTAAGTGAATATTATATGCAATGAATAATGTATTATTTTTATTTACTTAAATCCTTTTCCATTAATAGCAATCCTAAAGCCGAGACAACTGTTCCAAATAATAGAGATAAGAAACATAAAATAACTACTTATACAACAATCACAATCACAAATACATTATATTATGACGGTTATGCCACAACAATTACAACAATTAACTCTCTAGGAAATATTACAACCTTCGCAACATACATTTCTCCATCCACTGTAATTACGGTAAAAACAATGGTCTCACCAGTCACACTTGCTGATGATGAAGACAAGTCGAGTACGACGATAAGATTACATGAACTTAATAACCACAGCTTATGGGTAATTAGTTTGATTGTAGTCGTCGCATCTTTAGTAATTAGTGTTTTTGTATAATTTGTATATATTTTTGTGTATAATAAAACTGATAATTTATGAAGTTACAAAGAATGTTAAGTATAATGGCGATCGATTAATTATGAGATTCAGAACAAAAACGATAAATTATTATTTAACGAGTCATTACAGCTAAATTAAATATATATATTTGTATAATAATAAAAAATTTGTGATCAAATTAATAACAATATATCATTAAATTACGAAATTATCGGTGAGGTATGATTAATATTTGTAATGATGATCTATTTCGTGTCTCATTCCTTTCGTATAGTTAGGCAATAGAATGCGATTATGTCCTAGTATAGAACACGTGTAGGCATGAGGTTAGTTTCATGTTTTTATACTTTATTTTCGATATTAGTAAAAAAATGATTACAATAAAGTTTATTTGTCAGTAACACGTGATGTCATTTTTTTTTATCGCGGCGGTAGTTATTTAACGATACCACAGTCACGGTTCCGCAGTGACCCTAAATGATACAGTATAAAATACATTTGAGATATTTAAAGAATTGTCAAATTTTCATAACGAATTATAAATGAGGTGTAATATAGAAGAATAATATATAGTGATCTTGATGCAAATACTTTATTTTATGATAATTTTTCTAATTTGAATCCGAGTTGTAATGATCTATGTCATATTTTTGGTGTAACTAATTAATGACAATTGGTTTCATCTAATTTGACTAGCAGGGATGAATTTCTATTATCATATATTGGAATGGATTCCTTATGACGCATT